AAACAGTGACAGACTGGGAAACCCAAGGGGGCCACTATGAGTGGAAGTGAGAGGGGTGTTAGGTAAAAAGGAAGTGGTGGAAAAGCGAGCTTTTGAAAAGTGGGGGGCATGTGCCCGGGATGGCATTAGTAGGGTGACTTAGGGGAGAGCCCTGGGAAATCCTTGGGATTGGATGCTTTCAGGGAGGGGCGGGGCGTGGTTGTTCGTTACCAGCGTGTTGGCTGGAATCACAGGGACCCGCTGCACCGACAGAGCAGAACGACGCCTCTTAGAAGCCAGTCACCAGCCTTTCTTCCCAGGGGCTCTGGAACTGCCAACCTTTCCGTCCGTAGTTGATTGCTTAGCCTCTGCTGATATCCAAGAACTTCTAGTTCCGTGATTAGATGCACCAGCTTTCTTACCTATCTCCCATGGAGAGCAGGACTAGCTAGCGGGCTGAGGTGGTACCCTGTGATGACGCAGCAGTGCCGAGAGGGGTGAGGGGTGACAGTGTGTGGCGCACAGCCCTGGTGTTTGTCCTCTGTGTTCACACATGGTCATGGCATGGTGTGTGTGTGTCGTGAGCTGTCCAGGCCGCAGAGTGGCCTGGTCTGACGCTGGCCTTCTGTGAAATGGATTCAGTGCAGCAGGAGAACACCCCGGTGGCCCAGCTTTGACAGCCAAGACGTGGAGTCTCCTTTTCTCTGCGTCACATAGCTGTGAGCTTACAGAAGGCCTGAGTTTGAAATAGAAATGCATTCTGCTTGTAAACATTTGTGAGAACTCAGAAAAATAAAACAAATCATTTGGAAGAGATGGGATGCTCCTCCTCCTCAGAAACTCACGGGGCAGCTCTACCCCGTCCTACGGGCCGCTATGAATTGGCATCGCCCGGATGGCAGTGAGTGTCGCAGCGATGAGTTTCACCTTCCACAGACATCCTGCTGTTGGTCCCGGCCGTGCTGTCCTCTGTACCGACTTGATTTCTGAACTAGGGTCGCTGTGCAGATGCTTTATCTTAGTCCATGACACCACTGACCCTGTTTCGTGGTTGAATATC